GCTCTAGAGGAGATCTGCATGGAGGAATGGGCCAAAATACCAGCAACAGTGTGTGAAAACCTTGTGAAGACTTACAGAAAACGTTTGACCTGTGTCAATGCCAACAAAGGGTATATAACAAAGTATTGAGAAACTTTTGTTATTGACCAAATACTTATTTTCCACCATAATTTGCAAATAAATTCATTAAAAATCCTACAATGTGATTTTCTGGATTTTTTTCTCTCATTTTGTCTGTCATAGTTGACGTGTACCTATGATGAAAATTACAGGCCTCTCTCATCTTTTTAAGTGGGAGAACTTGCACAATTGGTGGCTGACTAAATACTTTTTTTCCCCACTATATGTGCTTTCTTGAGCAGGGGGACCTTGCGGGCGCTGCAGGATTTCAGTCCTTCACGGCGTAGTGTGTTACCAATTGTTTTCTTGGTGACTATGGTCCCAGCTGCCTTGAGATCATTGACAAGATCCTCCCGTGTAGTTCTGGGCTGATTCCTCACCGTTCTCATGATCATTGCAACTCCACGAGGTGAGATCTTGCATGGAGCCCCAGGCCGAGGGAGATTGACAGGTCTTTTGTGTTTCTTCCATTTGCGAATAATCGCACCAACTGTTGTCACCTTCTCACCAAGCTGCTTGGCGATGGCCTTGTAGCCCATTCCAGCCTTGTGTAGGTCTACAATCTTGTCCCTGACATCCTTGGAGAGCTCTTTGGTCTTGGCCATGGTGAAGAGTTTGGAATCTGATTAATTGATTGCTTCTGTGGACATGGAGGAGGAGGAATGCTGCCTATGACCCCAAGAACACCATCCCCACCGTCAAACATGGAGGTGGAAACCTATATACTTATTATGGACACAGTATGCTTTACATTAGTTATCTTGTTGTTATTAGTTGTTGTTAGTTGTTATTAGTCCTATCCTTCAACTCCATTCAACACCACCCATGGGTATAAGAAATTAGTTATTCAAGCCCATGTACTAGCCAAGCATGGTGAAGGGGTACACATACAGAATAATGGGTTTTGACATTTAAATGTAGTTAAAGAAAGGGTGTGGTTGTGACTTTCTGAACTGTTAAGAGTAAGAACACAGTTTAAAGTAATATAGTTTCAGTTGTGATTGGGGTATATTGGCCAAAGTATCAGGCCATTTTTGGATGTATTTTCCTTTCAGAATTCACCAGAAAAAAACGTGGCCATTTTATTCAACCACAACATTCCCACAACTACACAGACAGCATCCCATGGAGGAGGACTTGCTTTAAACCTGCCACAAAGTAAAGCAGAATCCCCAGGGAAAAAACGGAATTAAAATAATGATTGTGCTGTTATACAATACATAGCCTAATAGCCTACCGCATATTACCCATGGCAGAAAAACATTGGAAAAAAACATAGATTTAAGATGTCTTTGGCACATAAATGATCTAGACAATACTCAAAAATTAAACAAATTCTAGTAGTCGCCTTTGAGTGTGGACTGTATTATTATGCCAGCGGTTCCCAAACTAGGGGTCACGACCCCATGTGGGGTTGCCTGATATGAAAATGGAGTTGCGGGAGAATTTCCAGAATCCTGAGGAAAGAAATACATATACAAACAATATATATATACTGTATATATTTTTATATCATCTTTGTATCTCAAAATCATTGTAATGTGGTTAACCTTAAAAATCTTAATGAAAATGATTTAAATCTAAAAGGAACTTAAATATTTTGTCTTGCTCATTCACCCTCTGAATGGTACACATACACAATCCATGTCTCAATAATTAACAATCCTTCTTTAACCTGTCTCCTCCCCTTCATCTAAATGGATTGAAGTGGATTTAACAAGTGACATCAATAAGGGATCATAGCTTTCACCTGGATTCACCTGGTCAGTCTATGTCATGGAAAGAGCAGGTGTCCTTAATGTTTTGCACACTCAGTGTATACTGCAGCAGGTAACTTCAATTGTAAATTACATCAAACCACATCCACTGCACGCACGCCTGTTCACAAAACTATGTGGAGATATGGGATCAGAGCATGACAATGTTCTATTTCACACCAAGGCTTGGTGCTTATCAAGGGGGAGTGTTGGAAAGATTTTGTCAACTGTTGTCATTCACAATGGATGTAAAAAAAAAACGGAATTGGTTGACTTTCTATGTAATGAAAAGAAAATGTATCTCCTTGCCTATGTAACAGACATTTGGGAAACTGAACGAACTGAACGCAATCATGCAGGGGAAATACAAAAACATTCTACAGATGAGAGACCGAATTAGTGGATTCAGAGGAAAGAATTCTTATTGGAGAGAGTCTTTCAAAAGCGAACCATAACCCCTTCCCTCGGCTGTGCATGTTTCTAACAGAAAACAGCATCAGTAACTGCTCACCTCCAACGCTTGGAAGAGCACTTTGGGAACTACTTCCCAATCCGTTTGACTGTGACCCTGGCTCAGTTGACATGCCGGTAAGTGAAATCGAACAGCAGATCGAGCTGCCATGTGAACGAATGCATTCATGGGTCCTTACGGAGGAGTTTTGGTTCCTGACTCAAGGGAAATACCCTGCCGTCTCCCTCTGAGCATTAATGCGCGTTCAAAACAACTGGGAACTCGGAACTGGGACTCAGCAATCTCAGACTTCCCACTTCAATGCGTTCAAGACAACTGGGAACTCAGATAAAAACGAGCTCTGACTGGGAAAAATATTTTTGAACGGTCATCTAACTCAGAATTCCAACTCAGGAACTCGGGCCTCTTTCCAGAGCTTTCCGACCTGAAGATCACTGACGTCATGATTTGACCTCATTTTTTTTTGAGTTCCCAGTTGTCTTAAAGCACCATAAAACTCATGGTACCCTTCACCAGTTCATATCTGTGTGAAGCTGGATTCAGTGCTCTCATCTGCCTTAAAACCAAATATCGATCCAGGTTGGATGTGACAGCAGAGATGCGCACTGTCGACCACGCCCCCTGACTTTGAGAAGCTCCGACGCGACATGCATCAAGCACACCCATCTCATTAGTGGTGGTGAGATAAGATACATTATGTCAGACTAGTTTGCAATTGACTGTCATAGCCCCACATTAAAAGAATGTGATGGTCAGTTGAGATACAATCAGATATACTGTTGGAATGTTTTTCAATTGACTGCCATAGCCCCAAATAAAAAAAGTAAACATTGGCTGTTAATTACATAATTTTTTGCACATGGTTGGGGTCGCAACAATTTTCAGATATCAAAATGGGGTCGTGGGCCAAAAAAGTTTGGAAACTCCTGCCTTATGCTACGCTCTAAACTTTCAATCGATGAGTCTGGGAGAGAACATATAGGCCTAGGCGATGCTGTTGGTTCATTGATTGTGCAGGGTGGCTTACAGAGTTAGCCTACAATTTGTATTTGATGTTGAATAGCCTAGTAATAGGGCATTTCTTATATTTTCATAGTTAATAGGCTGACACATTACCTTTAGCTACAGAATATCTCACCACCGTGCATATGTATCTCCTCCTCTCTTTCCTTCATTCCTTCCTCGAGCGCTCATAGAGGGCCTGTCAACAATTTAATTAAATATGTTTCGTTGTGGAAACGTATTACTATCGATGTTCCCGAACAGATTTTACTTAGTTTCCCAAATTAAGCACTGGGTGGCTGCAGGAACATGGGTTGGAGAGCCCATAGCATGCAGAGTTTGGGAGGAATATCACCTGTTGCGCAACGAGAGGGTGCCTGCTTCTCAAACAGTGGTTGATGCGTGAAGTGAAATAAGTGTTCTTGGTAACACTTTACTTGACACCCTACGGTCATAACCATGTCATAATATGTCATAACAGCTGACATAACTTGCCATATATTTACACCTGTTGTGACATATATTGTGTTATTTTATGGCTGTTATGACACCTACATAAGAGTGTCAAACCCCACATTTATTCAAATTTGTTTTTTCCCTGCCAAGAAGTTTCCTTTTGTTTAAAAGTTTGTTTCTTAAATCCTTAGTTGTTGTTGTAATTCCTTCTTCACAGTCATGTTTTTTTCATCATTTTTAAATAACTTGTAGAAAATACACTTTATGACACTGTCATGAAGCATTATGACCCTCCTGTGTCACTTTACTTGGACTAAGAAAATCATATAAGACCATCATAATCATATAAGCCAGATAGGCCTATCACGTACATGCCCTTATGTCAGTCATCAGTCAAAAAGAGGGTGTCTTGTCCTGCTCCTGAAATCTGCATGTACAGTATGTACAGTATATGCCCAGACATTTCTTTATGCAATCCCATGTGAAAGCAGTTATGATGGTTGCCACTAAAAAGAGGAGGATCCCAGCTGCTACTATATTTAGGTAGTTAGCAAACCAGGCCAAAGACCCCTCAGAGACACCAATACTCCTTAGCCGGCCCACAAGAATGGAATGGTCTACCATTTCAAAAGCTTTGGCCAAGTCAATAAAAATAGCAGCACAACATTGCTTAGAATCAAGCGCAATGGTGACATCATTTAGGACCTTTAAGGTTGCAGTGACACATCCATAACCTGAGCGGAAACCAGATTGCATACCAGAGAGAATACTATAGATATCAAGAAAGCCAGTCAGTTGATTATTGACAAGTTTTTCCAACACTTTTGATAAACAGGGCAATATCCTATAACAGTTAGGATCAGCTTGATCTACCCCTTTAAATAAAGGACGCACCGTGGCTGCCTTCCAAGCCAAGCAATGGAAACCTCCCCAGAGAGGAAAGACAGGTTAAAAAGGTCAGAGATAGGCTTTGTCCTCTGTAGCTCAATTGGTAGAGCATGGCGCTTGTAACGCCAGGGTAGTGGGTTTGAACCCGGGACCACCCATACGTAAAAATGTTTGAACACATGACTGTAATATGCTAAATGGCATATTATTATTATAGGGGCTGCAACCTTAAAGAATAAGGGATCTAAACCATCTGACCCAGATAGTTGTTTGGGGTCAAGTTTAAGGAGCTCCTTTAGCACCTCAGACTCAGTGACTGCCGGCAGCAATACATTTTGTAGCGGGGCAGGGGGAAAAGAGGGAGGAGCATCGGGGCTAGTCGCATTAGAAGGGGTGGGAGATGAGGAAATGTTGGACGGGCAATGAGGCATGGCTGAGTCAAATAGGAATCCTGACTTAATGAAGTAGTGATTAAAGAGCTCAGCCATGTGCCCCTTGTCAGTAACCACATCATCAACATTAAGGGACATGGGCAGCTGTGAGGAGGAGGGTTTATTTTCCAGGTCTTTAACCGTTTTCCAGAACTTCTTGGGGTTAGACCCAGAGAGAGAGAACTGCTCCTTAAAGTAACTAACTTTGGCCTTCCGGATAGCCTGAGTGCACTTATTTCTCATTTGCCTGAACGAGAGCCAGTCAGCCTTTCACCAAATGGAATTCTTGAGGTGGAGTTACTCTGCCGATCACGGTCGAACCAGGGGGTGAACCTGTTTTTAATTCTCATTTTCTTTATGGGGGCGTGTTTGTTAACAATACCACTGAAAATATCAAAAAAGAAGGTCCAAGCATTTTCGACAGAGGGGATCAAGCTGATTCTATACCAAGGCCAGGTCATGAAGGAAGGCTTGCTCATTCAAGTTTTTTAGCAAGCGTCTATGACAAATCAGGACAGGTCGTTTCACTGAGCAGCCATTACGAACACAGGCTATAAAACAGTGATCACTAAGGTCATTACAGAAAACACCAGACTGATACCTATCAGGATTATTTGTGAGGATAACATCAAGGAGAGTAGCTTTTTCTGGGTGTTTGGAGTCATACCTTGTGGGATTGGTAATAATCTGAGAAAGACTTAGGGAGTCCCATTGCTTTAGGACTTGGTCAGGTGGTTTAAGCAAGTCCCAGTTTATGTCACCTAGCAGGACAAATTCAGACTTAGTGTAAGGGGCCAGGAGAGAGCTTAGCTGCCCTAAGTACAGGCCAGTGCTGATGGTGGACAATAACACCCAGCAACAGTCAACAAAGAGCTATTTGAAAGCAGAAATCAGTGAAACAGATATCAGAGCACAAGTCAGAATTGGGGCTAGCAACAGTAGATGGGCAAGGGTGTACATGCACATTTCCAGATATCATCAGCAGTAATACAATCAGGGCACGGCAGAGGACAGGGAGCGCTCTGCAGTGTTGATTTATGAGATTTGAATGTGCATCAGATGGCAACAAGATCATGTTGTCCAGCAATTTCATCAGATAACATGAATACAAAGCCGACGAGAGGTGGTTAGAATAGGATGGGAGGCCAAGAGTCTGTGTAACCAATAGAGAATCAGAGTCCAGAGTGTGGGAACAAACATAGTCTGTCCCACGGTTGGGTAAACAAGCAAGTTCACAGTCAAAAAAGCACACAGGAGTCATGAGGCAAATAGCATAAAGCACAAGAAAAAAATGTAACGACTTGGGGCTAACCATTGTGTTGCATCCTAAGATACTGGGATCTTTTACTGAAGACTCCGAAGCGTACTTATAATAAACAGAACAGATTTATTTCATGTTCTCCTTAACACATTCCAGTCGACCACTCTCTCCAGTGTCTTCAGCCCAACTCCCCAATACATAATTGAACTTTCACCGCCCTTGCATCACGTAATCCAATCACTTCAACGCAAGAACAGAAACCCCATTGTCATTTGTTCGAAACGTAGTATAAGTACGCTCCCTGCCTGTGCCATTAAACCCCTACAACTCATCCAGAATGCCGCAGCCCGTCTGGTGTTCAACCTTCCCAAGTTCTCTCACGTCACCCCCCTCCTCCGCACACTCCACTGGCTTCCAATTGAAGCTCGCATCCGCTACAAGACCATGGTGCTTGCCTTTGGAGCAGTGAGGGGAACGGCACCCCTGTACCTTCAGGCTCTGATCAGTCCCTACACCCAAACGAGGACATTGCGTTCATCCACCTCTGGCCTGCTGGCTCCCCTTCCTCTGCGGAAGCACAGCTCCCGCTCAGCCCAGTCAAAACTGTTCGCTGCTCTGGCACCCCAATGGTGGAACAAGCTCCCTCACGACGCCAGGACAGCGGAGTCACTCACCACCTTCCGGAGACATTTGAAACCCCACCTCTTTAAGGAATACCTGGGATAGGCTAAAGTATTCCTTCTAACCCCCCCCCCCCCCCCCCCCCCCCCAAATTGTAAAGTGGTTATCCCACTGGCTATAGGGTGAACGCACCAATTTGTGAGTCGCTCTGGCTAAGAGCGTCTGCTAAATGACGTTAATGTGCCCTTGAGCAAGGCACTTAACCCTAATTGCTCCTGTAAGTCGCTCTGGTTAAGAGCGTCTGCTAAATGACTAAAATGTAAAATGTAAAATTTGTTAATTCAAATAACTCCCTGCATACAAATCCCATTGGCTATTTTCAACCATTTAAAATCTAAACTCATTAACACATTTCCCAATACACCACACTCCTCCACGGAAATTCTCACTTCCTCTGAAAACATCCTTGATGAACATCATGGGTTTTCCAAAACAGTTTTTCACTTATCAACTCATATATAACCTATTTACAGATGCAATCGGTCCGGAGGCCTTCTGACCTTTTTTGGCCTCTAATGACGCTCTGGACCCTCAGGCTCACGACCTGGCACAATCTGTCTCTGGATGCGTGCCCGTCACAGTCGTAGTGTCCAAGTCCCAATCAGAGATGTTTCACTCTGACACATTCAGTTCTTCTCTTTCATTGTGTTGCATCATCATTTGATCCACATGCTTCTTACACAATTTTCCCTCAGTCTGCACCAAGTAGGTTACAGGACCAAGTACCCTTTTCACAACCCCTGGTACCCATTTCTCTCTCTCTCCGGTAATCTCGGACAAGCACTGTTTGTTCCGACTGAAAAAAACGAAGACACTTGCCCACCCCCTTGTCCTTGTGACGAGTACTGAGGATACGAAGAGGCAGGACGCAGACACAGGAATTAACAAGGTCAAGGTTTACCCAAACAATGAATTAACAAAGATAAAGTACATGACACAAAGCAAAACAATCACACACAACATCCTACAGAACAGTCCAGGGCTTAATAGGGGTAGTGATGAGATGATGAGGTGCGGGTGAGCTGGAGGTGATTAGGGTGCATTGGGTTTCCATTCCGGTGTTGCCGAGGTGGTGTGCTCAGACCGGTGGCTCAGTAGACCGGTAAATCAGAGCGCCGGAGGGGAGCAATGGGGGGAGACGTGACAGTTGCCGGCCAGGAGGACGACCCCGAGGACGAGGAGTGGGCCGGTCAGGGTGGCGATGGTGAAAGTCCCGAATTAGGATGGGGTCCAGAACGTCCCCAGCCAGAACCCAGCTCCTCTTCTCAGGACCATACCCCTCCCAGTCCACCAGGTAATGGAGTCGTCCCCCACGGAACCTGGAGTTCAGCAGATCCCTCACCGCATATGCCGGACTCCCATCAATGTCCAAGGGCAGAGGAGGCGTATCCCGGGGGATGGCATCTGCCAGAGGACCAGGAACCACCGGCCTGAGGAGAGACACATGAAAAGTGGGTGAGACAAGGTAGTGAGGAGGAAGGAGCAGCCAGTACGATACCTAATTTATCTGCCGGAGGACCTTAAACGGCCCCACAAACCGGGGGCTCAGTTTCTTGCAGGGCAGGCGGAGAGGGAGGTTTTTTGTGGATAGCCAGACATGATCCCCAGGCTGGAATACAGGGGCCTCACTGCGGTGGCGGTCGGCTTGGTCCTTCTGCCGACGAAAGGCTCTCTAGAGATGGACATGGTCGGCATCCCAGACCTGTCCGGCCCTGTGGAACCACTCGTCAACAGCGGGCGCATCGGTCTGGCTGGGAGTCCAAGGGGCCATAATGCCAGAAGACCTGTTGGAACAGGACCTCAGTGACCTGGAGAGCAGAAGGAAGACCAGTTAGTGGCAGAAAAACTGCATGATTTGGAGAACCGATCTACGACCACCATGCATGACTGTGGTGAAGCCATCAGAACGTGGAAGGCCGGTGACAAAGTCTATGGACAGGTGTGACCAAGGTCGCTGAGGCACTGGGAGAGGAACTCGTTTATCTGCCGGGGCGTTCCGAGGTGTCTTCGTTTTGACACATACGGAACAGGAGTTGACATAGCGGGACACATCAGAAGCCAAGGTGGGCCACCAGTACTTTTGTGCTAGAGAATGCAGGGTGCGCGTAATACCGGAGTGCCCTGCCGACACTGGCGGGTACATACACACGCCCCGGAGGGGCGTTGGCAGGCGCCGGGTCCTCCTGAACCACCAGGCGGATGTCTTCGTCCACATCCCAAATGACAGGTGCAACGATAAGAGACGAGGGCAGGATAGGGCCCCCCATATCCTTCCTTTCTCCGGTATGGTGCATCCTAGAGAGTGCGTCAGCTTTCACATACTGGGATCCTGGGCGGTAGGAAAGAATGAATTGAAATCGAGTAAGAAATTGGGCCCACCTGGCTTGACGAGAGTTCATCCGTTTCGCTGCCCGTATGTGCTCCAAATTCCGGTGGTCAGTAAGAATCCGGAATGGATGGACTGCGCCCTCCAGCCAGTGTCTCCATTCCTCCAGAGCGAGGACCACCACCAACAGCTCCCTGTCTCCAACTCCATAGTTCCTCTCTACGGGGGTAAGCTTTTTTGAGAAAAAGGCACAGGGATACATTTTCTTTGGCTTACCGTGCCGCTGGGAGAGGACCGCACCCACGCCCTTCTCCGATGCGTCCACCTCCAGGATGAAAGGACGAGAGGGATCTGGGTGTTTTAGGATAGGCGCTGTGGTAAACCTCTCCTTCAGCCTCTTGAAGGCATCGTCAGTCTCAGGGTTCCAGGTCAGCTTCTGAGGCCCACCCTTAAGGAGAGAGGTGAGCGGGGCGGCTATGGAGCTGAAAGACCTGATGAAACGCCGGTAGAAAATGGAGAAGCCCAGGAAGCTCTGTAGGCCCTTGATGGTGGTGGGAACTGGCCATGACCTGACGGCATCCCTCTTCACTCCTTCCATGAACACCCCCTGAGGACTGATCCTGTATCCTAGGAAGGAGATGGCCTGTTGGTGGAATTCACATTTCTCCCCTTTCACCAACAGGCTGTGTTCCCGGAGGCGGAGTAGGTCAGCTCGGACGTCCCTGACGTGCTCCTCGAACGTAGCCGAGTAGATCAGGATATCGTCGATGTACACCACCACCTGTCTACTCAGCATGTCCCAGAACACGTCATTGACGAAGGACTGGAACACAGATGGTGCGTTGGCGAGGCCATAGGGCATGACGCAGTATTCATAGTGACCTGAGGTAGTGCTGAATGCCGTCTTCCACTCGTCTCCTTCCCGGATTCGGATCAGGTTGTAGGCACTCCTCAGGTCCAACTTGGTAAAGTACCGGGCCCCTTGTAGCTGCTCGGTGGCCGAAGGAACCAGTTGGAGGGGGTACCGGTACTTGGTGGTGACTGCGTTCAGCCCCCTGTAGTCAATGCATGGTCTCAGTCCTCCGTCTTTTTTGGCCATGAAGAAGAAGCTGGCGGAGGCAGGAGAGGGTGTCACGAGAATTTCTATCTCTAATGAATCAAACTTAATGCTCTGAATAATTCCCAGAGGGTGTAAATTCTCTGGTTTAATCATGAATTAAACAAAGGTCTGCAACCAGCAAGAATGATCTGTATTTTTAATCATGGAGAGCTCTTGCGCCAAAAAACATACATACAGCTTTTATATCCCTTGACACACAAAGGCACTTTGCTCCGCCCACCTTTAAACCGTTTCTTAGTCCCCTTCACCCTGGAATGCTTTCCCCCTCTGTTAGTGGGTTGACACTATATTATAACTCTAACATCATTCACAAATTTATACTGTATCTGGGGTGAAATCCTTTAGTCATTATTCTTAAAATACAAGTTAATCTATCAGAGGGACAGTCTACACCATGGAAAGGGGTAAATGTGACTCTTCAGGGGGTGTTGTCCCTCCAGCAG